AGATTGGATAAAAGAATGTCAGGGGAAAACCAACTCTGCTTTTTAATCTCAGCCACACTGCAGCAGCCTTCTAATGCTTTCATCTTGAAATAAGAGCTGGCTGTTTTGAGAAAGCAGGTTGGTCATAAACTGCGGGCACGGCAGGGTCTTTCATCACTGCCTAGAGAATCCTGGAAGGGAAGCCAGCCGTCCCATTCTGGGACCTCTAAGTTGGAGGCACGCAGTCCAGAGTGCTGGGTAAAGAGGATATCCAATAAATATTAAATCATTTATTTTGAATTTCTTAATACATTTTCCTTTCAGAATCTTGGGGATTAGAAATCTTGACTTGTAATAAAATATCCATGCAAGTTAGGGCCCACTTATAATCAGGTCCAGTTTCAGATTTCACGTAGTAGAACAGTAGGCTTTCAATGAACTTTCTTTTATACAGAGTTATTGAGTTATATTTCACCTACCCTATACCCCATGCATTAAAAGTATATAGTGCTTTCAAATAATTTTTATTTACTTTAATAGTACTGTCTCTTCTAACTTTTTGCAATTAATCATTTCAGGTATATATATTTTAAAATGTATAGCAGCCCTTATACTTCATTTTTTCAGGTGCTTGCACTGATTAGAATCTGAGAAGGTATATTGTTATGGTGGGTTTATTTAAAGGAAAGTGTAAAATATGGTCAAAATATTGTTGCAAATGTGACATGTGTGGTGAGAGGAAAAGACTAAAGGTGGGCTCCCATCATGCCTCTTTTCAGTGTCCTGCTGGGTCAAGGAGGCCCAGTTTAATTTACAGACTCTCAACTCACTACCAAGGCGCCAGAAAGGAACTTCTGCCACAACCCTCCTGGCTAATAGTTGATTTATTGTGATGAGGTTCATAGTATTAAGGGGTGGGGGGATTAATAGCTTTGGGGTTTAAGCTGAAATGTGCATCAAAACAAAAGCTCAACCTAACCATTCTTGAAAATTGTCAGTGAGAAAAAGTAGAAGGTTTTGAGGATTTTGAATGTCACCTCACATTATGTGTTAATGATCTCGGTGAAGGATGGAGCAGATCTAAGAACCATGCTTTTTTTGCTTTTTGCTAAAATAGCAGTGTAGAAAAAAAAAAACAAACAAAAAACCCGTTCCTATTGCAGTTGCTAGAACTGTCCACAAAGATGGAGACTCTGGTTTGCCACGCACTGCCAGAATATAAATGGCATTATGTCTGACCTGTATACTTGTAGTTTATCTAAAATAGGTTTTCCTTTTGAAGATTGCATTGGGATGGATAGTGGGAGAGGGACTTAGACAAATTTAGTCTACCCCTTCCTGATATGACTACTAGACTATTCTTAAATGTAGCTTTTGTCTTACGATTTGGGATTAAAGTGCCTACTTCTTTAATGTCTGCACCTGGCTTTAGAGTGGCTTTTCCATTACCAAGTTTGTTTCCTCATTGTTTCAGACTTAGAGACTCATTCTTGTGTCTTAGTGTTTGTTTGCATTGTTTAACTTTCTATTGTACTCACTTTTACTAAAATCTGTTTTGGTATTGTTTGCTCACAGATGGAATAAAAATAGATCCACAGTGTATTTTTTTTCACAGTAACTACAGTTCACTTTAATTCCTTCTGTGCTCTTTATGGGGATCTCTAGGGAGAGAGTTTTGCTCAGATCTCTCTGTTGTCAACCAGTGTATTTATTTCTTATAGAAACTACTAGTTACTAATCATGTTTCCTTAGTGCTTTGGCCACTAGGAAACTCAGAATCATATATTCTTCTCTTATATAGTACTGAATGGCTTCTTAGAGCATGTCTTTATTTATGTAAAATTTCCTCTGATTTCATTTTTATTGTTCTGGTCTTAGGGAGTGAGAGTTATCTTCTATGCTTTAAAATCATTCACTCATGTACTTGTACACTTTAAAATCATTCACTCATGTACTTGTTTAAGAGAACATACATTTATTAAGTTGGCATGGCAGTGAATCTGGGCATTTCTCACTGGATCCTCAGCTCATGTGTCACAGACTTGAACTCAGGATTTTGGCCTGACACCATCTGAGGCTGGGTGTCCTCTTCCAAGTTAGCTTATTGGTAGAATTGGCTTCCTGCACCTTATTTTCTTGTTGGTTTTTAGGAGGGCTTGCCTTTAGCTTCTGTGGGCCGTCTTTCTCCATTAGTAGTTCACAGAAGAGCTATTAGCTTTCCTTCTGGAGTCCTGAAGGAACATTTATCATGCCTGGAATCCACCTCATGCTTCAGATGTCTCCTTTTTGCTGCTAGCCAAAGAAAACATTCTCTTTTAAGGGTTTCATCTGATTAGATTAGGCTCACCCATAGTTTAAGGTTAATTGAGTTGGAATTTAAATCTGTCTTCAAATTCCTTTCACAGTGGTTCCTAGTTTAGAGTATGATTGAATAGTTAAGGAAGGCTGGGGTCGGGTCCTCTTTAGAATTCTGTTGCCACTATTCCCATAATGGAGCACTATGAAACTATGGAAAGGTTCAAGGAAAACCTCAGACCACAGTGATGGCATGACTGCCAAGATACATTGTTATCCTGAAGAAAGTAAGATGTCAAGCAATATTTATATGTACAGTCTACTCTGTAAGAAAGAGATTGTTGTGTAACTACCCTAGGCCAGGTAGGTTTCTCATTGGTTCTGGCAGCTTAAAAAAGAACCTCGGGACCCTTGGCATCATCCCCACAGATATTTTTACCAGTATGTAAAGGAAACAAGCCAGCAGGGAGACAGCAACTTAGGCTTCCCTGTGAGTGTCTGTATGCTCTTTTCTCTCACCATCTCTTCCTCTTGTAGCCACTTTGTCATAACTGTTTCTGAGTTATATCTGTCACCTTATGTCTCTGACCTCTAGGCTCAGGTATGCACAATTAAAACATGCTTGTGGGCGTACACACACCCATGCCCAGGTGTCTATGGTCAGGCATGCAGGCCCCACACACAGGGCCCCCAAGTTAACAATTAACAAGATCAGGGCTGCAGGAGATAGCGGTAGGGGCCAATGGCATAAAAGATGGACCAGTTAACTTCCCTGCAGTGTTGAAAGCAGGAAACCTATATGCATTTTTTAATTTCTTCAAAAAGAATGGAGGGATAAATAAAGTTAACCAAAATGGTAAAGTAAGCTATACTTTGTTTACTGTACATCAGGGCCTCAAATAACTGTAATGTTGTATAGAAAAAACCCCAGTGGTGTTGAAGAGAATGCTATTTGAGGATCTACTTTTGTTCTACCTTATGCTTAAAGTTGCATATTTCAAGAATCTATCGATGACCTTGAGTGAGAACTTACTGTATTTACTTTGTGGTTTATGTAGAAATACACATAATTGAAAGACAAAACTAAATAATAATGGGAAAAACGTAAAACAGTTTCTAAAAGTTGAAAAGCTGATGTCATTTTATGGTATAACTCCACAGAGAGGAAATATTTAAGGTGCTTTTAAATCATAGTATTTTGATAATATTTGCATAGACTTTAGGGTCAAAAACCAAACAAAACACAACAAAACAAAAACAACCTCATGGAAACCTAAACTTGCATTTAGTATTTTGCTGTCATTGCTAATATTTGTATTAAGCACCTCCAAGTTAAAAAATTGAGGTAAGATACAAAGAAAATAAAATTATGTACAAAGAACATGACATTTATTATCTTAACACTTTTCACGTGTGCCCCTCAGTGGTATTGAGTGAACTCACACTGTGCAGCCATCACTAGGTCCTTCCCCAGAATGCTTTTCATTTGAAGAAACTGAAACGTTACCTCCATTAAGCAATAACTCTCACCTGCTACTCCAACCTCTATCCAGCACTACCCAACTTTCTGATTTTTTTGACTACTCATATCAGTGGAGTCATATATTTGTCTTTTTGTGACTTTCTTTTCTCATTTAGTCTAATGCCCTACAGTTTACCCATGTGGTGGCATATTGCAGAATTTCCTTCTTTTTAATGGCTGAATAATATTCCATTTCATGTACACATACACGTTTGCTTATTCACTCATGGATGATCTTGGGTTTCTTCCCTGTTTTAGCTATTGTAGCTAGTATTCCTGTGAAATACAGATATACAAATGTCTTTTTGAGACTCTGCTTGCAGTCTTTTTGAGATTTTCAGCTCTATCCTGAAGTAAAATTGTTAGATTACATGGTAATTCTATTTTTAATTTTTTAAACAGAACTATCAAACTGTTTTCTACAGCAACTCTGTAAATTATTTCCAAACCAATCATTATTTATTTTTGATAATAGCCTTGTTAATGAGTATAAGACTTTACTAAGGTAAGGGTAATTTTACAGGTCATTTCATATCCCTTTTGAATCAAGTTGAAACAAAATTATTAAAAAGTAATGTTCATTGGCTTACAGGTTTATCCTTTTGCTCGCCTCTGGGAATCAGTTCTGAGCTACTATGTTAGCGTGATTTTGCACTCCAATATGACTGTGGCCTACTCACTAGTGTTTCTGGGTGTATTCGTGCTGATGTTCTGGCATGAATTTTATAATTTTCTGATTCATCTAATGGGGTGAGGCCTATTTCTGCTGTAACTTAGGGAAGGAACAGGCAGGACAGGTTTTGGTGTGAGTCCGATACTCCGGGACTACTTCTAACAATCAGGAACACCTAGCTAGACACTAGGTCTGCCAAAGGCATCTCTGTTCCGAGTTTTAACTACAGTGATCAACTCCTCTAGTTTTGACAGCGACTACCCTTGTTTTAGAAAGGCAAGTTCCTTAAAAACCCGGTAGTTCCAGTCAAACGAGAATTTCTGGTCACTCGAGCCCCAATTCCTATTCTCAAGTCTCAGCGCGCATGGAGGTAGCCAAATTACCAGGAATACTTCCCCACTGAGAAATTTCGCTCATGCCGAGGCGTTCCCGCTTCAGAACTACAAGTCCCAGCATGCAGTGCAGCACCGGCCATCCTGGCTGTGTCACGTCTGCGACCTCGTAGCACGGCGCCTGGAGCCCTGTGCGCCGACGTCGGCACGTTCGCGCCGTATTTTTAGCGCCTGTTCGCGTCCTCCTGGGCTGCCAGAATCCCCAGGCTTAAGGCGCCGGGCGGAGGGGCTTCACCGCGCGCCCCACGTGCCTGCTTTTTGCGCTTGAGGTTTTAGGTTTTGCAACCGCGGTGGTTAAAAAGGGGAAAGAGGCCGCCTGCCTAGCCCAGGTCCAAGATGGACAAAGTCTGTGCTGTTTTTGGAGGCTCTCGGGGCATAGGCAGGGCGGTGGCCCAGTTACTGGCCCAGAAAGGCTACCGAGTGGCCATCATCGCCAGAAATCTGGAAATGGCCAAAGCCACCGCCAGTGAGCTCGGCGGTAGGTACCGAACGACAGCTCTGCAATTGTGTCTGCAGTTCAAGCGCCTTCGCCCCCTGGTTTGTAAAACGAACGGGTCAGCCTGCTGCGGCTCTCTCTGAGGCTTAGCGGTTGAGCTTTCCGGGTGCAGGAGCTCTTCCGAGTGTAGACGGCAGCCCCTGCGGATAGCCCCCTGCCCCAGGTCCCTGTGGCCCGCAGAAAGCCTCCTGCCACGCTGCCTGCCGCCCCGGCACAGAGTTTTGTGGAGACTTCGCGGTCTCTGAGGCACCAGGACCAGGCACGCACCTACCTCCTCAGGCTAGTGCTACTGGAGCAGCCACTTTGCTCTGGCGTCTGGTAGGCGAGAGCCACGCAAAGGTTAACATTTTATGTAGGGTAAAGGGCTCGGCCCTGGCGCGCAACTCCGGCGGCCTGGAGGCCGGGCGGCTCGCAGAGTTCTGGCTGCAAGGTGGGCGTGTCGGGCGGGAAAGCGAAGCTCGCTGGCAGGCGTTTGCCGAGTGCAGTTGTCCCTGCGCGGAGGCACTGAGCGGTTTCATCCGCTTCTGAGTACCAGGTGTCAGCTCTCCTTGGTTTGCTTGACGGAAGTTACCAGACTTTCGGTGACTTTTCTGAGTGGACAGTTGAGATTTATCCTACCAAGTTCTTACTGCGTACAAACTACATTTTTTTTTTTTGGCCTGTTTCTTAATAATGGCTTTCTGCTTGTTTTGCGAATTTTAGTCTCTTGCTGGTAGGAAGAAATAAAAGGTTAGAAAAACATGCTGCAGTTGTAGTTCCAAGAGTGAACAGATGCCTCTCATTTACCATCTCGGGGGCACTGGGGAATCAGCGACCCGGGGATGCACCTGGTGTTTGTACCTTTTAAGATAACTACAGATTGGTCAGGGATGGCGAATTCATCCTAATTGTTTACATGGGTTGGAAAAACGTCAGGCTAAAAAAAATGATATAATTTATAGAGCAAAGAGGATCTCAGTGACTGCTTCTTGCTGCTTGTTTATCGCCATTATGTCATACACACAGTGAAAGAGTGATACTCCTTTGGGGACACCCAAGCTATTAGTGTTTGCTGGGCTAAGTTAAAATCTTGTTTGAAAATTGCGGACCAAAAAAGGCTCAGATGAAAGCCAAGAGTGAAACTCAGAGGAAGCTTTCGGCCTTTCATTTCCTTGAACCATGTGTTTCATCAGTGACTGGTTTTCACCCAGAAAGGGTGACTTCCCAGATGACTTACTGTTTCTAAAGGTTTGAGGGGGTAATTGACATACTCATGAAAGTCAGCCAGAAAAGTCATTTTTCAAAAGTCTATTTTAGTGTTAAAATGCTTTATTTTCCTTTGAAGTATAATTTTGGGGGCATTGAATAAAAACATTTTTTAAAGTGGACATTAAAGAAGATGAGTAACAGTTGTTTTTAATAATTTTTTCATCATAGTTTGTAGGATTAGCATTTTTTACAGTTTCCTGCTTTGCCTCAATTCTTCAAATGGACAGGCTTGAATAATAGTCATGATAAGGCATCTGCCATAGCAGAAAATAAAAAGACACTGAAGTTTATGCTCACTGCCAGGAAATCAATTCCACATAACCATAATCATGTGGAATTAGACATAAATTCCCCCAAAAAAGAATATAAAACCCAGAAGATTGTTCAGTTGGGTGGTAAAGGGTCATTATTTGATTTTATTTACTACATTATTAAATAAATCTTACAAAGCCTATAAGCAGGAAAAATGCCCTCCTGCTATTTATTATTGATTAAAATTTTTTTAAGGCGAACATTCTGTATTACCTGTTTCTCATTTCCCACTCCCTCTCATGTTAGTGTCATTAGACAAATCAATGAGAGCAGAAGCCCTTTATAGTCCGTTTTATAGCTCTACTTCCTAGATTATCATAAGTCTAGTTTAACAAGTATATATTGCTTAACAAGTATATATTGAATAGTTTTTAAGTAATTACATTGTAAGTAATTCTAATCTAATTTTGTTCTGTAGGAGGTCATTTTGCGTTTAGCTGTGATGTTGCCAAAGAATGTGATGTTCAAAATGTATTTGAAGAAATGGAGAAAAATTTAGGTCCGGTTAATTTCTTGGTAAATGCAGCTGGAATTAACAGGTTGGTTACAAATTTAAATAACTTTCTAATATGTTTTATTTTCCTTAATATGAATTTGACTAGTATGAGTTAATTGTTGTTTTACTTCTAATTGGAAGAAAAACTATATTTTAAAACTTGATCTGACACTGTACCATCCTTTTATATGGCGATATATCAGTAATGCACAGCAAGACAGTTTGATCTCTCTCTTTTTTAAATTGAGGAAATATTATTTTACTATGTTTCTGTTGTAGAGGTATAGCTTCTCCCGCAGGGCACCATAATCCATTGTGTTTCCTCTGGATTTTGTTCTTGCTCCTCCCTTCTAGCTTCTTCTCAGGCAGCCTTAGTTCTAGGTCACATTTTTAGGGTATGTTATTAATGTGGCTATTTCTGACCCTTTTTGTTTCTCTGTATTATATAAATGACACTGTTTGGTATTTGTCTTTCTTACTTAATTAGTTTAACATAATCCCCCCTCCTCTGGATCTATCCATGTTGGTACAAGAGTTTATCTTTTTAAATAGCTGAGCAATAAGCCATTATGCATATATACCCTGTCTTCTGTTTTTGGGTGCTTATGTGGTTTCTAAAGTTTGGACTTCAAATTAAGGGTTTTTTATTCTTTGAATAGGTATGTAAGAGTGGCTTTTAAAGGAATTTTAAGGAATTAACTTTATATAAGTTTACATGTTTATGTGTGTTTTGTAGGGATAGCCTTTTAGTAAGAGCAAAATCTGAAGACATGCTATCTCTGCTTCATACTAACCTCTTGGGCCCTATGCTGACATGTAAAGCTGCCATGAAGACCATGATTCAACAGCAGCGAGGGTCTATTGTCAATATAGGTGAGTCTTCATCTTAGTCAATTTTAATTGTCTCTAAGACCATAGAAGTATTTATCGACTGACTTGGCAGTTGTTCAGATATGAAACTTAAGGGAAAGGTAATTATTATCTGTAGGGAAAAAAGATTTGTTATATTGATGAGTGGATACTTGGAAATCATAGATTCACATCCCTGTAGTAGTAAATGAGTGACATCACCAGCTATTAAGAAAATAACAGTGTAAGTGTCGTGATGCATAAATGACAGATGATGTCTAGCTTCCTTGTCCAGTGGCCTTGTGGAATGGAAGGGGCAACCACTGCTCAGTCTAGTAGAAGAATGCTGAAGTCAATAAAATTTGTGATTGAAAATAAGATAATCTCACTATAGAAAGGACTACTTTAACATCCTAGTAAGCTCATTAATATTTCAGATGTTATCACTTCTTGACCAAATAAGTATGAATGTAAGCTACTATCGATGCCTACTTGGTCTTTGTTTTATGCCTGTATTTTTCTTCCTGTTTTTGTATCTCCATTTTTTCTTTCTAATAGCCCTTTCTCTGTCTTTCTTTTGTCTGTTTCATATGTATTTCTGTGCTTCACAGTTCTCTTCCTTTGTTATAAACTGGCATATAGTATATACATATTTTAATACTGGCTTTGATGGTTGTACTATAAAAATGTTTGAAATGTTTTCTCTTTCACAATTCTTTTGTCCAAAATGTTTTAGGTTCTTGACTAATTTTTTATCATAAGTACAGGTCACTATTGCAGAAAATTATTTCTCTACTTCCGTTTTAAGAAAAAAATTTTTGGGCCCTCCCTGGTGGCACAGTGGGTTAGGACGCAGCACTGCAAACTGGCTACAACCCATTCAGTGCGAGTTCGATCCCCGCCCGGGAGGTGATCCACATGATCGCACAGACCTCTCCAACTCCCCGCTGATGCCCTCAGCAGTGTACTTTGTTGATCTGCCTGTTCTGCTCTCCACTCTGTCTCTGGGGAAACCTCTCGCCGCCCCTGCACCTCTGGTCTGTGTACACCCATTCTGTATGCATAAATAAATACGTCTTTAAAAAGTAAAAATAAAAATTTGTTTTTGCATGTAGTTGACATTTCAATTATAAACTAATCTTATTTATATAAAGGAGGCCACCCCAATAATCCTTTGCCGACAATATAAGTAATAATATATAACTGGAGGAAACAAATTACAATTTTATAAAGATTTTTTTTCTTTAAAGATTTATGCATACAGAACTGGGGTACAGGCCAGAGATGCAGGGGCGGTGAAGGGATTCATCAGAGACAGAGTGGGGAGCACAACAGGCCAACTGATGAAGTACACTGCTGAGGGGAGTAGCAGGTTGGTCAGGAGGGCTACCATGCCATGTGGATCACCTCTGGGGCCAGGATCGAACTCATGCTGAAGTGGCTTTAGTTTCCTAGTGCTGTGCTTTAACCCGCTGCACCACCAGGGAGGGCCCACAATTTTATAAAAAGTTTTTAACTAAAACTTTGTTAACTGAAATTGACAGTCGCTCAAATTTAGTGAGATATATTTTCAGATGAGCTATTTTTTCAGGTGGGAGTGAGTAGTTTGGTCTTTTGTAGAATTATTACTCAACCTTTACCTGATTTTAAGCTCTTCCTTCTAAAAACCTTTATAAATGTAGAATTTTCATCATGTCTGACCTACTTAGTCATTAGAATAAGTTCCTTTTAGTAATGACTCAGTTATCAAGCCTCTGTCCGGTATTCAAAGTTCTCCATAAATTTTTCAGCTCCTGTTGCCTATATGTGTCTGGGCTACACTGACTGTTTTACTATTCAAAGTAGTATGACTATGGTTGGAATCCCTAACTATTAGCAAAGGACAAGATAAAAATTTAACCCTTTTGTTTACTATACATTACCTGGGTGTTGAAATAATCCTATTGGTTGGATTGAATTTTCTTTCTTTTTTTCCCAAGGAAGTATTATTGGTTTAAAAGGCAATTCTGGCCAGTCTGTATACAGTGCCAGTAAAGGAGGATTAGTTGGATTTTCACGTGCTCTTGCTAAAGAAGTTGCAAGAAAGAAAATAAGAGTGAATGTCGTTGCACCAGGTTAGTGAAAAAAATATTTAAGTATAATTTATGTACATTTTATTACTTTCTACATTCACAGTAAGGATTGTTGGTGTGTTTGTAAGTACATCAGCATGAGATGCTGCTCCGAGATAGTGAAACAGGAGCATAGACTCCACATTGTAATTAAACTTGAAATGTCACCGAACATGAACTCTGTCATGACACGATTTACATGGTCAAGACTGCTAGGTTGTTTTGTATGCATAAATCACATAGCAGTTTTTACTGAATGAAAAAAAACTGAGAGAAACTTCTGGTTTAAAAATAAGTTATAAGTTAACTTTTTAAAAAAAGATTTATTTATGTATGCATATAAAACTGAGATATAGACCAGAGGTGTGGGGGTTGAGAGGATTCACTAGAGACAGTGAATGGGGAGCAGAACAGGCAGCTGTACTGAAGTACACTGCTGAGTGGAGCAGTGGGTTGGTCAGGAGAGGTCAGCCATGCCATGTGGTTCACCTCCGTGGCTGGGGATGATGGCTGCAGTGGCTGCGATAGCTTCATAGTGCTGTGCTTTAACCCGTTGTGCCACCAGAGAGGGCTCTATAAATTAAGAAGTCTTAAGAGCTGGTTGTAAGTATTTCAGATAAGTGTGGGGATATGGTGTGGTGGTGGTGTTGGCAACATGTATCCAACTACTGTACAAATCCAAATTATATGCTTTGGAGAACTGGTTTCATTTTAAATGTGCTTCTTGGGCTGTCCATCGATACTACAACTCACTTCACTGGGATATAATGTTTGCTATTTATACTTTGTCAAAGTAGAACTTTCTAAGTAATGCAGTTATAACCTAAATGTATTCTGTATGTCTATATTATGGAAAAACATGTTTATATTTAAAATATAAATAGCTTTATAATAACTATGCTTTTACTAAAGCACAGAGGAAATTAACAAGGCTGCTAAGGGATACCATTTTTATAGTCCACAGACAATCATGGACAATGATTGATTTACTAATTCTAGAAAGTCATTGTTTATACAGATAAAGAACTAGCAGCGGTCACGTAATGTTTTGTTTTCAAAATAGACAAGATGCCTTTCAGTGAACTTCATTGTACCCCAGAGACCAACGCAGGATTCATGTTAGCATTTCAGTATGAAGAAAAATTTGAAGAAGGAAGGTTCTTGTACAGACTTAGGAAATAGAAACATTTTAAAAAAGGTCCTTTATTGAAATAGTAGGATTTTAGCCGGAGTTAAGTTACTCTCTGGTATATGAGTGGCACTCTGAGGCTGGCTGTATGGGGGGGTGGGGGGGAGAATGGTGGTATGTGGGAACAGTTTGACCTGAACCAGTTTCATCACATGAGGGCAGCTTAGAGCAACTAAGGGTTCTCAAACCGGGTTTATTTTTGAGTGGCTAACAGTGAAGAGGGTTGGAGAGGTTACTAGTGATTTTTAAAATAGTAGAAATCACAATGGGATGTTAACACAGAATTGGCTTCCTTTAGGAACTTTATCAGGAACTCTTGTGTTCTTGTTAAACGTGTAGAAAAAACCAACAGAGATGTAGTTCATCTTTAAGACAAAGTAAGTGTCACTTATGCTAAGTTTGCAGAAATCAGAACTTTCCAAAGAGGCAGGCAGAACATTTTTGCACACTTGTTCCTTTTATTTTGATTTTGGGCACTCATAGGATCTGTAATTGAAAATATGGACGGATTAAATGAAATGAAAAATCAGCTTGGTCTGTCAGTTATAGATAATTGAAAAATATGAACGCATAAAGATTGGAATTATAGTTTGGGTTGCTAAGGGCTGAAGAAATCCTCCAGTTTTTATATTAGGGCCTTTAAAGTACATTTAGCAATATAACTTGCAAATTGTTAGTTTTCAAGTTGCCCCAATTTTCAAGCAAGTTCTGTTCTATTTGGTTGCCATCTGTACTCAATGACATAAAACATTCGACAAATTAATCCTATTTTAAAATTTCTTCCTCTGAGTTCATCTTCTACATTGCACTAAGTAATCTGTTGGGCAGAAGGGAAGGAGGGACGAAGTGTAAGTGTTGCTATAACTCTTGAAGGCAGAGCTATAAAATCAGCTTCTACCATCCTTAAAATATAGAAATAGGGGTGTCTCAGCACTGAAACACAGCACTGAAGCTATCCACAGCCACTGTAGCACAAGTTCAATCACCAGCGGGGGAGCTTACCTACAATGTGCAGCAGACCTCTCTTGTCTTGCCTGCTGCTCCCCTCAGCATTGTATTTTGGTCATTCTGCCTGTTCTGCTCCCTTTTCTATCTCTGGTGACTCTTCTCAACCGCCATACCTCTGACCTATACCCTAGTTCTTATAATGTATGAATAAATAAATCTTTCAAAAAATATATAGAAATAGTAGTGAAAACTTGCTGAAAAACTTAAAATGGTGAGATTGATCAAAACCCCAGTTTGAGAAAGGTGTCTTGAGTCTGGTTCCCTGTCTGATTTTCAAATATACAGGTCCTTGCAGTAGGACCTTAAACAGACATCTAGCAGAAGACTCAGTGTGCTTACGGTTCACCGGATAGAGCAGCAGATGGAATTAAAAAAGATCCACATATAAAACCATGTTAGGTTCTATTAAGTGTGGAATGCAGAATGTCCATAGCCATCTATCATTCTTTTGACAAAATGGACCAGAAACATCGAATGTGTTAAGATTAGTCACACATAATCACCAAATAATATCCAAAAGTATGTAAACCAGTTAAGCACTTGTGAAATTAGTCAATTCAGTTAGAAATACAAAATGAAAATTATGGATGCTGCCTCAAATATCTGAGATACCACAAATTTACAGGCGATTTAACAAAGTAGATTTTGGTTTTAAGAGAATGTTATAATTCAGTAAATATTAAAATGTTACTAATAATGATAACGTCGAAAATCATTTATCTGGAAATTAGAAATTCATAAACAACAAAATAAGGAGAAATAGGAAGGCTCTCTACAGGGGCCTCCCTGGTGGTCTAGGGGTTAAGTCTCAGTGCTGTCATCTCTGTGGCCTGAGTTGGATCCCTGGCCAGGGAGGTAATCCCCTTAAAGAACAACAGACCTCCCTTGTCTCACCTGCTGCTTCCCTTGTCAGTGTGTTTCAGTAAACCTACCTGTTCTGCTACCCTGTTCTGTCGCTGGTGAATCCTCTCACCTGCCACACCTCTGGCCTGTACCCCAGCCCTTCTACACAAAAATGAGTAGCATGTTAATTCAGCAGGTTGCTGACAGGCTGTTGGTTCACATGTGAATTATATGGCAATGTGAATAGGTCCAAAGCTGGTGAGAGGAGGTATAGAATGGAGAACTTTGTGATTCATCAGTTCAGTAGATCACAGGGGGCACAAACAAAAGTTTAACTTATCAAGGATGTGAGACCATTATAATATTACAACAATACAAATTTTGGATCAAATGGATTTTTAATAAAACTAAACCTGGACAAATACAGTGTTGATTATATTTGTCTAAATGCATACACATGTTGGTTTGTGTGTTTAAGATTTCTTATTAAAATAACGATTGTAAATTTGTGATTTATAGAAAAGGAAGCCATAATAGATTGGTTTATTGATGCTCACACTGACAGCTGAGTAGAATAATTATAAAAATGAATGTAAAAAGAATCAAGTAACTGGTAAAAAATTCTTGGTGACTGGTAAAATAATCCTTGTACTTTATATTTTATATAAAATTTTTTTTTTTAAATTTTGCACCAGTAATAGAATAACTTAAGACAGAAAGCCTCTTAGAGATCACTTTTCCAGCAATTTTTACAATTTGAAAGACTAGGACCTAAGAGACAAACTGATTTCCCACAGGTTACACAGAACTGTTATTAAAAGCTTTACCTTTTTATTTCCAGCTAAGGCTTAAAAATAATGCCTTCTTACATACTCTTTATATTGTTACAAGCCTTAGGTTTTTGTTTTCTTTTGCTCATATGAACTGTTGAAACTTTGGATTTTTCCAAGTTCATAACTTACCTTTACATTATTTGCCTTTTGCCAAGTAACTATTTGAAAAAATTGCGTGAATTGATTAAAAGGGTAATGAAAAGGTGCTAAAACTCAAATCTACATTATTACTCATTAACTGCTATAATAGAAATTTTGGTTACATATGTCCTGATTTTTGAATAAAATGGGTATTTTCCTAGTTTTGCCTATTTACCATGGAATCTTTGTCCTAACTTACTGTATCTCTAGTAAGCTTACAACAGTAAGTCTACATCTATAGCAAGCTTACTATCTCTATCTACTGCCAGTAGAATAAAAGACATTTAATTTTGACTCACCAGTTCTTTGGAAGAAAGAATGGGCTGAAGTAGAATGGGCTGAAGTAGACGGTTGCCACCTTTCTACTTCAAGTTGTTGATAGCTACAGGTTTGACCACAGAATTGGTGTTAAATTCGGCATTAATGCTGTATTCAGTAGGGACCAAAATATTATCAAGATGTTCTAATAATTCTTTTGGTCTAACAATATTTCTTCAATTCTGTTCACTGTTTAGTTACAATGACTGCCTAAACCCAAGCATTCTAAATCTGTGATAAATGACTATTGTTTAGATATACCCATTTTGGAGGGGGAGGAAGGGGAAAAAAAATGAAAGCTGCACTGTAATTTTGAAGCTTCTTTCTTGTGTCTCTGCTTTTTGTCTGTGTTGATTAATTGTAAGGTTAGCCCAGCTTAACCATTTGTTGAATAGATTATTTGTGCTTTTAGACTGCATCTATTTACTTACCTGTTTAGCCATTGGGATAGAGTAGGTAATAGTTCTGCTTTACGATGATTGAAAGATGGTGTAAGGATAATGCAGTTGTTCTTTGCTCATAGTAAACTCATTTGGCAAACTACCTAAAGTGTTGTCTATGCACAAAGACTGTGCTAAATTCCAAAATTATGAAATGAGTATTTCTGCCACCAGGAGCTAAATACAGCAAGTGGGAAAGGCAGATATGTAACCAGATTACTTTTGGTATCTTGGTGTTAATGTAAATTAGAGGTACCCGAGGATGCTATAGAATTGCTAGAGGAGAAATACTTAATTTTGTCTAGCATAAGTTAGTTGTCAAGGTAATGGGCTATATAATGGGAATCCTGATTGTATACTAGGGGTTGCTCTATGACTGTTCAGGAAGTATATGGATACAGCCTTTCTTAAAAATAGGACTTTCCAGTGAATTTTAAATTTATAGGAAGAGAAACTAAAAATGGGTTCATTTCATAGGATGACCTTATTATGTTCGCAATATATGTTTCATGCTATGAATGTGCTTCATTGGTCAGAGCTATAGTCAAGTTGAAAGAGTAGAATTAAATTGAGTTATGGATTATTAACTTCATTTTAGATAGCATTTCCAACATGTTCTTCACCAGATCTTTTAATAGAGCTGGCAACATCTTAATGTTTTCTCTGCTGTCAGTTTTCCTCGTCACTTTTGAATGAAGTTTCTAGTTAAGGAATACAGTTAAAAGGTAACTCATAACAGGAAAGCAAGGAACAAGGACAATAATTTATCATTTGCTGCCTAATATTATTGACTTTTAAAAGATCAATTGGTTGCTAAGCTTCAGTCTTTAACTGCATTTTAAATAAATAGATACATCTCACTGATCAGAAACTAGTGAATATGAGAAATACTATTTGATAAATTGAAATCATGATCAATATATTACTTTATAAAAATGTTTTCAGTAGGTAACATGAACATATAAAATATTTAAAGTACAAAATGGTGTAGTGTGAACAGTGAGTCGTCTTTAGCCAACAATTGTTTCTCAAAAGCAGCCACTATTTCTTCTGTATTTCATATACAAGATGATGATGTGTGCTTATCTTTTTTTCAGGAAGACAGATTATTTCATACTATTAAGTCTTTGTATCTTGCTCTCCTCTAGAACAGTATCTGTTGGAGTTGTTTCTATATTATTTCATATAAAACTGCTTCACTTTTTTTTTTAAAGATTTATTCATACAGAACTGGGGTACAGGCCAGAGATGCGGTGGTGAGAGGCTTCACCAGAGACAGAGTGGGGAGCAGAACAGGCAGATGGATGAAGTACACTGCTGAGGGGAGCAGTGGGCGGGTCAGGAGAGGTCTACCATGTCATGTGGATCTCCTCGGGGGCAGGCAGGGATCGAACTCATGCGGAAGTGGCTTAAGCTTCCTAGTGCAGGGCTTTAACCCCGCTGTGCCACCAGGGAGGGCCAAAACGGCTTCACTTTTAAAAATAACAGCTTTATGGAAATTTATTTCACATGCTGTACGATTTACTATTTAAGTGTATAATTTGTAGTTTTTTGGTATAGTCACAGTTATTCCCTTATTTCTACAGTACATTTTTTTAGCATTTTTATCGATCCCAAAGAAACCTTATTCTCATTAACATTCATTTATGTCCTGTAATCTCCCCATCTTTTGGCAGCCACTAATCTTTCTTTTTCTATAGATTTCCCTTGTTCTGGACTGTTCATATAAATCATATAATATATAGTTTTCTGTGACTGCGGTGTCATTTCTTTTTTAAGATTTATTTATGTAAGCAAAAGCTGGGGGTGGAGGAGTGTAGGTCAGAGATGCTGGGGGCGAGGCGCATTGGGGGGAGGAGAGTGAGAGGATTAACCTGAGACACAGTGGGGAGCAGACAGCCAGACTGACTGAAATACACTGCTGAGAGGAGCAGCTGGTGAGACAGGAGAGGTCTGCTTTGCCATGTGGGTCAGCTCCCTAGCCACGGATTGAATTTGTGTTGTTTTGGCTGCTGATAGCTTTATATTGCTGATAGCTTTATATGCCCTTGTGCCACCAGGGAGGCCCCATTGTGTTATTTTTTAATGGCACATTTTTAATATTTAAAAGATAGTAATGTTTGTTTTATGGTTATACCATATATTTAATCTTTAGTGTTTTTTTTTCTGATCTTTTGTTATTTTAGCTAATTCAATGATAGTGTACATACTTTTTCTTATATATGTGTGTGTATGAGTTTAGTAATTCTGGAATAAAGTTGCCAAGATTTAAAGGTATATACATTTAAAATTTTACATTTATTTTTATAGGGTAGCTTGAGTGCACCTTCCTTTTTTTTTTTTTTTTTTAAGTTGAAGAGACTTTCTGTTTACTAGAGAAAACCTTAGACAAATGCTTACATAATCTTTGCAGCTACTCAGAACAGATGTTCTACTTGATCTAATGTGCTACTTGGTATTATTATTTTCACACTGCTTCCCTATTGTTTCCTTCTATACTTACAAACACAATGTTAAGATGTCCAGATATGTTTTCATTAAACTATATTGTATTTTAGCAAAAGCATTATATCTTTTCCCTTTAAAGTTTCTGGGGTTATCTCTAAGTTCTAGAAACTTACATTAGAATTGACAGTTGAGCTAATACATCAAAATAATAATTCCACAATTAATATTGGTAATAGGCTAAAATCATGGCATCTTATTTAAGTATAAAATACTGCTTTATATAAACTCATTCAAAAATTGTGACCTAGGAGTGTGAAAATGAGATACTATTTGTCTAAAAAGATGGATAAAAAGAAATACATTTCCTTTAGAGTTTATCAGATAAAATTTTTTATTGGACTATGCATTTGCTTTCATGAGCAGGGTGTTCTTGTTTCAAAAGAGTTAATATTTATAAGCATATACTGAATATGTTGTAATATTATATGGAACTAAACTAGACTTACCCTTATTTTAAGTTGAGGAATGTCATTTTAGGTTATCAACCTGTAATTTAAAGGGTGATAACTTTGTAATCAGCTGGAAACCTTTGACTGTCCAGTGATCAGTAATAATACCAAACGTTTGATAGTGGCATCTCATAGTTTGAATTTTTATAGCCAAATTGAAGGGCATATAAGTATGTAGTAATGCAAAGTAGAACAGACTTTCCAGAGCTTTACAAACACAGCAGTTGATATAGAAGTAAGTCCTATGGGAGAAAACAGATTGGAAAGCAATATGGACATAAAAACAGTGAAATGTTTAAGAATGACTGACGTATTTACCCAGGTATTGTGATTGAGAATTCAAAATACTGTCTATATGCAGTGCCCTGGGTTGTAACTATCAGCTCTAGTAAGCTCTAGTGTAAAACGATTTTGGTAGAAGGCCTTGAAATTTATTGCTATAGACTAGCTTATTGGTTTTGATTTCTAACAAATTGGGGGAAGATATGTATGTTTTGAAAAAACTGTGGAGAGTTTACTGTAGGCTTTATTGCACATACCAAGTCCATGTTAAATTTTAAATTTTGAATGCTTTAACATCATATTTGGCTATGACCATACCATTTTTTTCTTACTTGAATAAAAGAAACTTTTTTTAAAAGATGTATTTATTTATGAATACAAAACTGGGATACGTAAGGTCAAAGGTGCAGGGGTGGTGAGAATATTCACCAGAGACAGAGTGGGGAGTAGAACAGGCAGACTGACAAGTATACTGCTGAGGGGAGCAGCTGGCGGGTCAGGAGAGATTTGCAGCACCATATGGTCACCTCCAGTGCTGAAGTGGCTTTAGCTTCTTAGTGCTGTGATTTAACCTGCTGTGCCACCAGGGAGGGCCTGAAACACTTTTTTTAGTCACCAGATAACTAGCTATCTTAGCTGTAGGAAATAGAGATAATTTTTGTCAAATTGCCAAAGCAATTTATGTGACCACCTTCGTGGATGTCTGCCTGTCCTCTGTCCTGCTCACCTTTTTACACAACCTCAAACAAAATTAATATCTTGTGTATACCTCTCTGAGGATAGTCACTAGACTTCTTTGTTACAGTTATGGTTGCAAATGACTTTCTGCCACAAATTACAGATTTTCCAAGGAAACAATTTTTGTTTTTATATCTGTCTACTTATGTTGTGTTAGGATTTGGCCAAATATTTGGAAGTGAAATACCTTAGTGTCTGATATGAGTTTATTGAGTAAAAATGTAGACTTGATTGCTAGAAAAATGGTTTCTTAATTTAAGTAAGGTTTATTAATAATCTCAAATTTTCAGTAACAAATACACTTTTATTTGAAATTGAACAGATGCCTTAGGGTCTTCTCAACTAAATATTTTTTTTTTAGGATTTGTTCACACAGATATGACGAAAGACTTGAAAGAAGAACATTTAAAGAAAAATATTCCTCTTGGGAGGTTTGGAGCGCCTGTTGATGTGGCCCATGCAGTTGTGTTTCTTTTAGAATCTCCATATGTCACAGGACACGTTTTAGTAGTGGATGGGGGATTACAGCTCGTGATGTGACTTACTGATTACTCAGCTATAGTGGTAGTTAGCATCAGGACATGGTTAGACTGATACCCAATGGGTGATGTTAACTATTAATTTTTCCTGTTGATGTTACATGATGATTTTCATCTATGAGTATGTCTGAAAAGAACAGTATGTTTTCTAAATGGCATGTACTATAAAGAAATTTTAGCATAAGGCCTTTAAGTGATCTAAACAAGGAGTAATACTTTTCCTCAGAAGTGGGAAAATTTAAAAATCATCATGAATTATGTTATTAGGCTGAGTTCTCTAGAAGTTAATATTGTGGGCCATTGTCAAAATAAGAATATAGGGCATTTAGTCACTTTGCAAAAGTTAAACATTTTTTGCCTTGCAGATTAGTTTTTATACAGTTGAAAAGAAGGTGTCTGACATTTAGTCTGGTTTCTGTGAGTGGTTTTACTCTTGATTGAACAGCTGGGCAAAATAATCTCATATGAATAGATATACTATAGAAATTTTCAAAGATGATTAACCCTTAAGGTTTTACTCTCTTGTATGGTAGTGAATGATACTTATTTACTTAGGAAGTGAAAGTAGTTTTTAATCTACAAAACACCCATTTGAGCAAGTTATTTAAGAACAGTATAATAAATGACATTTTGAAAATTAATAATTATGGCAATACTAATATTTAATCATGAACAGTCATAAGTGATATTCACTAACACAAGCAACAGTGAAAGCATTAAAAGAAATATTTGGTAATAAAGACACAAACTGAATGTAAAATATCAGGCAGTATCTATTTTGCATTGAAATCTTGTAGGGACCAGCATAAAATTTTAAACGTTAAATTTTTATTAGAACTGAATGTAGTTTTGTGAAAATAGATTTAATTTTATGTTTTGAGCCATGAATATACTGAAAAATACAAAGTAATGAAAATAAAAGCTTTAAATAAAGTTAAATCTATGTTCTAAATCAAGTTTCTGATTCTTTACAAATTAAAATTCATCTTTGTGTAGTCTTAAAGTTTAAGATGTGAGAAAGTGTGTGTGAAATAAGAATTAATCAAATATTTGCTAAATGTAAGTATGTTAATATATAGGATTTATTAGGCATTAACAACTCCATGCCCATATAGGAAATGTGGCAGTTAATTATGTCTTCAGTGTGATGGAAGCATGTAAGCCCGAGACTGTGCGGAGTAGGCCCTTTCCTGATAATGCTGCTCACCTGCAGGCCTTTGCCTCTTAGATCCCACTCAGACTGGAGCTTCCTTCTCTAGATACCTCATGTTCTGGAATCATTAATAAGGCTGATTTGATTGGTGGTCATTAGAAGGAAAAAAAAATATCTTTTTAAAAAAAAATTTATTTGTTTATGTATACAGTACTGGGGTACAGGCCAGAGGTGCAGGGGCAGTGAGAGGACCCATAAGAGACAGAGTGGGGAGCAGAACAGGCAGATTGACCAAGTACACTGCTGAGGGGAGCAGCGGGTGGGTCATGGGGGGTCTGCCACACCTTGTGGCTCACTCCCTGGCCATGGATTGAACTCTTGCGGCATTAGCTATGATAGCTTCATAGTGCTGTGCTTTAACCCATTGTGCCACCAGGAAGAGCCTGAAAAATACATTTCACTGAACTAAGATACTAAAATGTATATAGATTACAGATAGGTTTAACCTTTAAGTATATATATTTGCACTGTACACCTTTTATTAAACTGTTCCGACCGTGCTCCTATGCCATATCAAACAGTAGAAGATAGGGAGAGATCTTGAGAGAGGTAAAACGAGCTTTCACTGTCCCACTCTAGGTGAATTCTCCATCTCTTCCACTAACCTGCTACAATTGTAGTTTAATTCTTGTAATAGATTGTTGAAGCCACTTGCCAGCTGTTGCTGGGTTCAAAAATCTCAGTGATTTAGCAAGAAGATTTATTTGTAGCTGTTATCGGGCACTTGTGAGGCAGTAATCCAGCCGGTGTTTAGTACTTTTTAAAAAATGGCTTATGGTTACAGGCATTGTATTAAAAATTTGTTTCTTTCATACTTTTTTCCCTATTCAACTTCTGAGGTGGTTTTCAGCTGCTTTCTAGGGATAGAATTAGGATTATAAGATCCTTTAGGGACAAAATTTCCAAAGAAGATCATTTAATTTATTTGCTTCTATAATATAGAATAAAGTGAAAAAAGATCTGGATATTCAAGAGTTGGCCTTCACGTTGTTGATGCTTTTTTTTCCTAGCCTGCAAAATGAAACTATGTATAAGCTAAGAAATCATATCACTCTCCTAATTTGACAGACAGTACAAACTAATAATTTAAGTGTTATTTGTGTTAATTACATCTTTTAAGATGCTACTTTTATTAAATGCATCTTTATATAAGTTCAGTATTACCCCAGCAGAATACCAACAGTTTTTTTAACATAGAATTTGATAAATTGACTTTAATATTTATGGAAATAAATCAGCCAAGATCATCAGTCAAAGCAATTTTATATAAGAAAAAAAGAATTTACTATAATGCCATAGTAATCAAGACAGTATGTTTCTGGTAAAAGGATAGACTTACAAGTCCGTAGAACAGAACCTGTACTTTTTTGATAAAGTTGCCCATGAAACTTGAAGAAAGGAAATGCATTTGGAAATGGTTCTGAAACAACTGTACAAATCATTACCCTTGTACAATTACCCTTGATTCCTCCTTCATACCATATATAAAAATTAATTTGAAATGCTTAAGTCATAAGTACAAAAATTGAAATTGTAAAACTTTTAGAAGAAAATACAAAGAAAGTAAGTTATGTGACCTTGAGGTAGGCACAGATTATTTAGAACATAAAAGGCAGATTCATTCTGAGAATAACTGTTAAATGGGTTTTGTCAAAATTAAGAACTGTTGCTCTTTGGAAGACACTATTTGGAACATGAAAAGGCAAGTCATAGACTAGAAAACTTAAAATGTGTGTATGTGTGTATGGTATATATTTCAAAAGGACTTGTCTTTGGAATCTAACAAACTTAAAAATGATAAATGAGTTGAGTAGAAAAGGGTGAAAAGATTTTATTAGAACTTCACAAGAGACCCATGATTGATCTAAATACATTAAAAAATCCTCAGTAGTGATTAGGCAAATCCAAATTTAAACCACAGTGATGTATTACTATGTACTCCTGAGAGTGGATAAAATAAAAAAGACTCTAGTACCAATTGTTAAGAATTTTTTTTTTTAAGATTTATTTATTCGACAGAACTGGGGTATAGGCCAGAGATGCAGAGGGTGAGAGGCTTCACCAGAGACAGAGTGGGGAGCAGAACAGGCAGATCAATGAAGTACACTGCTGAGGGGAGCAGCGGGCGGGCCAGTACACTGCTGAGGGGAGCAGCGGGCGGGCCAGGAGAGGTCTGCCGCGCCATGTGGATCTCTTCCGGGGCAGGCGGGGATCGAACTCATGTGGAAGTGGCTTAAGCTTCTTAGTGCTGTGCTTTAACCCGCTGCGCCACCAGGGGGGGCCCAATTGTTAATAATTTAAGGCAATCAAACTCTCTATGCTGCTGAGAGTATATAATGTTTAAAAAAAAAAACCTACAAACTGCTTGAGAAACTATTTAGTAGTATCTTAAAAAGTTAAACATACACCTATAGTACAACTCACCTATAAGTTAAAGAAGTCAGTTTCAAAAGAGTATGTACTGCGTGATTGTAGTTATATAAAATGCTAGAAAATGCAGACTCATCTAAAATGACAGAAAGCCAGTGAGTATTGTCTGTGCCTAGGGGTGAATGAAAGAACGACAGTCAGGATAGACTTTCAGGAGTGGTGGACAGCTTGATCTGATCTGGGTGCATGTATTTTCAGTATTAGTCAAGTTAGATACTTTGAATGAATGACTTAACACCTCAGTAAGTATCAAAGGAAATGGGAAGATGATAGTAGTAGGGGTAAATCAGTGAATTTTGGGTGAGACTGTAGCCTGAAGCATAGCATTTGGCAAAAAAATGTTTTATCTGTGCAATATCTTTTTATAGTTTTGTAGTATTCATGTATGTCATCTAATAGGACACTTGGTGGAGCCACCAAAATATTTAATTAGAATCCTTTAAATTGTGTTCCACGTAAATATAATCATTCTTAGTTTAGTCTAAATGTTTATTATTAGTTTAGGATTAATTTCTTCCTTTGATAGCTTTTGGGTGATACAGTCTTCAAATGAATGGTGGTGTTGGTATGGTGTTCAGTGGCAATTTCTTTACAAGAGTGATTAAAATCTGCATTATTTGTAAATTTAGGTGGCCAACATTTACATATATACCTGTGGGTGTGTTTGAAATTAGTATTTACTGTGCTTGTCAGGTATAATATGGGAATGTTGTCTGTGTATATCTTACTGGAATTTTGACTGACCCTTTAACATCTGAGCTACTAAAAAGTGATTATTTCACTAATTTTTAGTGCCTTTCATCAACTTTCAAGCCCTGGTCCCAGTAGCTTTTGCAATGAGATTAGTAGAAAGGTAGCACCTCTGGGGCCAGAAAGTCCTGGCTTTAAGGTCAGACTCTGATTATGATCTTAGCAAAGTGTATCTCCCCTTTGAGCTGCTTTTTCACCTATATACCTATTCTCTCTGTACAGGAGAGTAATAATTCCTAGAATTACTGTAAGATTAAAGAGTATTAACGTGCTGGTAGGTGCTCAATAAATGGTATTCCCATTTCCCCTGAAAGGAATGAGTCTGCTGTGTTGTATATGGTGTCTTCGCTGATGGGTGTGTTGTAATTTATATGCCACAGAATATTTTATACTCCAGTGTTCTCTACTTTCATTGATGTATTTTCTTTTTGAGCCTTACTTTTGAAGTCCTATTTTCAAATTTATTCATCTGGATCTGAAACATGGGTATGGAGCAGTATAATTTCTGGTTTATTTATATGATGTTAAGACTAGAGTTGTATCTCTCTCTCAGCACATTTCAGAGGGAAGGTGTGCTGCTGTGTAGATTATATTCTTTATATCAGACAATTTGCTCCCCTTAGTTAAGGGATCTGTTAGCAGTAAGTATTTGTAACCTCAAGCCATTAGGGATCTGACCAGCCACGTGCAACTTTCCCATGGTTTTGCAGCATCTGACTCATTTTAATCATACCTTTACCTGTGGTTCTCTTATACTCAGTTCAGATGAATCTCTGTGGCCATTCTGTTCCACAGCTGGCCGCATGAATACTCTTGACCCAGACTGCATGGCCTGCCTCTGCCAGTCTTGGCATTCATACTTGGTGTCAGTTCTAAGGCTGGTTGTCCCAAGCCATAATCACTGATCTGAAGTGAGAGTGGGCTGAGCTCGGACTGGGACACAGTCCTGCAGCATACTTCGGAGTGCTCCCTTTCAGAGTGGCCCCACTTTACTTTCCAGATTTCTGCGACTGGAAAACAGTCTTCTGAAAATCACATCCTAAGCTGTAACCTGATGCATGAAATAGAGTCTGTGGTTGTTGAAAGCATATCTACTGTCTGTAGCACTAGCAATGCCCTTTTTATAGTGTAGTGTTTGCATTTCAGTTTATATTTATCATATATCTGTTAACATAAAGACTCATTTGCTGTTGAAGGAATCACTTTGTATGGTATTAACTACCTTGTTTCTAATGAACATATTTATTGATTTTCAAAATTAGACAAGGAAGATGAAGATTTACCTCTCTGAATAGTACCCTTACCACTGCCACATTCATACATTTCCCACTCCTCCCTCCTCTCCCCTCCCCGCCATATAGTTTTCTGTTCAGTCACAGTAACATTTTATAATTCTGTAAACTCTCACAGCTAAGCTGTGTAATAGTTGATGACTTCCTTTCTTGTACAAATACAGTAGTTTGTTTTTCCTGAAATTGATA